ATTATTTATGAGTGATAAATTTAAATTTTTATTAAAAAAAATTTTAAAAGTTAAATAAAAAAAGTGAATAAAAAAATAATTGATGAAAATTTGATCTTTTAAGTTTTTGAGTTTTTATTATTTGAAATCTTTTTAAAATTAAAAAAATTTTAAAAATATAAATTTTTTAAAAAAAATTTAAATTTATGAAATATAAATAATATTAAAAAATTAAAACACTTGAAAATCAACCCTAACATGCTGGAAGAATTGTAGCATAACAATATTATGATTCAAAATATAATTATTTTTAAAATATTAAATGTATTTATGTTTTACTTTATTTTTATTTTAATTCCTCCATTTACTTAAATGAATAGAGACAAATAAAAGGATGTTATATCTTACTCTCCCTTTTTTCTTTTCTTTTTTTTGTCTTTTTGTTTACTTCCAGTCAAATGTACTACAAACGTATAGAAAGTAATTGAAGTTCTAACCCCGCTACGCCCTATGTGATGAAGTTTTATGTATTGATAATTGATGATTATTAAAGACCAATAATCGCAAAAAGCACTTAACTATGTTGGATGCTTTGAGGAGTTTATCCTATAAGAGCATATCTTTATCATCTGTTTTACACTTTTTTTTTTTTTAAATGAACTAAAGTAAATAGTTTAAACTTATGAGAAGAGGGGATGAAAAGAAAAACAAGAGTTTAAATTTCTCCCAGGAGAGTGTGAAAATTTTTTTATTAGTAATAAAGCCATTTCAACTATTAATTTTCTACATTTTCTCTCCTTTACCTTAATGATCATGGCTAATTTGACGAAGTATATATATAGGTTCAATATATATACTTCTTATCCATAAAATATGCGGGTGTACCTCTTAATATATAATCCTAATTACTTCAAAGGTTGACACATTCTCCATTGCTAAGTTAAAGCCAACAGTTAGGAAACCAATCATATGTAACATGAAAGCCAATCGTATGTGATATTCATATTAACAATGTCAAATAATGGCTTGGATACTTCAATAGATATGCTATAATATAAAGAAAATACTCTATATCAAAAACTTAGAAAGGAAACTTTTCCATCAACTAGGGTACAATGACA